CTAGTCGTTAAGTGTGTGTGCTAGTTGTCACAAACTATATCTCAGTAGCCTATGAGGTTTTGAGTCAAGAGTCAATACATTAGAATATTTTTTTTTAATAAATGTAATTCTCAAAACAAAAAAACTACAAGCACGTGATATTTTTGCTATAGTTTTTGGGTAACAAGTAATGTAGAAACATGCATTTTCTGTAAAGCTGCTTTGAAACGATATGTATTGTGAAAAGCACTATACAAATAAATGTGAATTGAATTAACAAGTAATTGCAACAGGACCTTGCAATAGGGGCATGTTGTCACAAAAGGTCAAGTTATGTGCAAGTTATGTGAACTGTATATGGCAAAAACAGTGAAAACTAGGTACGGTTTTACTGTATTACTGAGGAAATGTTCCGAAAGATATTTTCATTCAAACTCGTTAAACTAAATTGCATGCACACAACAAATAAAATAAAATCATTGCTTATACTCCAGCTGATATCAGACAAGCAATGAATAAAAAAAAAAAACTTACAGCACAAGAAATAAACACTATTAATACCCCCAAAAAATATCACTCTACAATAAAATGTATTATTATTTTTAATCAAATAAAATCAATAATTATACTCGGTTAATTTTAAGGTTAACTTTATTTTAAGGTGTCTGTGTTAAAGTATAATTATATGTTTAAGTTCTGTGTAATATTATTTAACAACAAGTGTAGGATTAGGATTTGGTTGAGGGTTAGCTGCATGTATATTATGCATCATTTACAGTTCTTACATGTAACATATGGAACAAGGACACTGTAAAATAAAGTGTTACCTGATATCAGTCCCAAACAAGCAATACAAAAATGACTTTTTATGGGAATGCAATGCAACAATGTGATGCTTGTCAATCTGTCAGTACAATGAACTTCCTGTGCTTTTTAAGATGCACTTTAAGTGCCATACATAGAAACACACATACGGACACGGTGTCTGAGTGACATGAGTGCGTGTCTCTCTGTGAGCACAGCCCATCTGGAGGGTGCATAGCATGGCGGTTAGACAGGTTGCCAGGGAAACTCGGCATGGGGTGGGCTGGGGAAGATTGGCCCATTGTGATTGGCTGCCAAGCGTGGGTTATTTCTCAAGACTAAGAGAGACAAAAGGCATGTCCAAAGCAAAGAAGCAAACAACAGAGGCTGAAACAACAAAGCACTGCTCCAGGAAAGCCAGGACCACTTTGTCTCACTTCTATTCGACCCGGGAGTATGTTGCTGTCTATTGATTTTGCTAAGAACAGCCATTTTCTGAACATCAAGTGCTCATTTCTGAGCCACCATTTGCTAGGAAACATATGATAGATGGCTCTACTGTGTAAACTAATAATAAAAGCATACTACCTCCAAGAACAGGCAATGATCACTGCCTGCAAACCATGAGGTTTTCTAGGAAGAATCTGTTAGTTCTATTTTAACCTAAAACATACAGTGCATTAGTTTCTGGCACAACAAAAGTACTTTCAAAAGCAACAGATTCTAGCTCATCAAATGGACTCAGCAGAAAGAAAAAACGAGCAGAGAACATACTTTGTACTTAGTACTTTCTCCTGTTCCTTCAGTCCATGACCTTCCTTTCTGTTTCTGTCACTCTCTCTCTCTTTCATGTGTTCACTCACTGGTATGACACAATATGCTAAAACATCAAAAAGCTTACAAAAAAGCTTTTAATGCTTCATTACGTTGATGATTGAGACAGACAGATGTCCATATGAACAATGGCATCAGACTGATGTAACGCTTTACATGACCCTGCACTTTTAGGTCGGAGAGCTGTGCGCTTTTCCCGCGGGCTCTAAACGTCATGTTTAATGACTCAATGTACATACTGTTGGTCTGTCACTGTCAAAATAGAACCAAAGGGCGTCACACCTCTCATTCTAGCATTCTCTCAGTCATTTCTGACCTAAAAGTGTTTGGGAAACGTTATCAGCACACACTTCTGTTCAAAAGTTTGGGGACGGTAAGATTTATTAATGTTTTTGAAAGAAGTCTCTTATGCTCAGCAGGTTTGATCAAACTGCTCTAACGAAATCCAAAATTTGAGCACTTTTTATCAACCCAATGAACATAGCTGTATTGCGCTATCAGCACATTTCACGGCACGGTTTCACTTCTGCCACAAAGGATACGTCACAGCAGGCATAAGGTTGTGATATTAGAGGTATACTGGACCCTTGAACTTGGCTTTATGGACCCTTGAACTCGGCAAATAGAAAAATGCACGCAGCCGTATTGTGCCATCAGCCACGGTTTCTCTATAAGACAGTGATATAAGAGATATACTGCCCTAACTTAAGCCAAATTTTGAGCAAATTTATCTTTTTTTTATAGCTCGTTTTCTTCAGTAAAATGGCAGTGAAGCACAAAGGAAATAATATAGGTTAGTACACATAATCTGGAAATTGTGCATGAGCAACGCAAAAAAATTCCCGTGCGCATGTGAAAAGTTTTTTGTGCGCACATGAATATTTCTCGTGTGCATGCAAAAAATATGTATATTTTTTATTTTTGCAAAGGTCCCTTAGGGGGCTCCGTAGTGTGTATTTTAAGATGTAATTTATACTTGTGGTGGAAAAGCTGAATTTTCGGAATCGTTACTAGTCTTTATATTACTGAATATTAGTCTTCAGTGTCACATGATCCTTCAGAAATCATTCTAATATGCTGATTTGGTGCTCAAGAAATTTCTTATTATACATCTATTTTTCATTTCTTATTATTATCAAGATTGAAAACAGTTGTGTTGCTTAATTTTTGTGGAAGCCATAATACGTTTGTCTTTCAGGATCTTTTTATGAATAGAAAGTTCAAAATAAAAGCAATTATTCTAAATAGAAATCTTTCGGTTGAAATCTTTTACTGTCACTTTTGATCAATTTGAATGCATCCTTGCTGAATAAAAACAAAAAAATAAAGGCAGCGGCTATTGTATGCGCAAATAGCAATATATTATATTTACACTAAGCGAAAATAGCGATAGATTCTAATTACACTATGTAAAAATAGCTTTATTTTCTTTGCAATGGTAGTTAGATGCTATTTATACAAGTAAATAGTGGCAGATACTATTTGCTCCTCAGTGTTCAAACTTATATAGTAGTGTATATTGGTAAATGCATGCATTCATCAAGTCGCTTCTTGTAACTTTTTATGCATGCAAATTGGTTTAAAAATGCCCAAATTCTGAATTCCAGTAAATATTTACACATGTAAATGATGACTGCTGACAAGCTAGCTGCTGAGCACTCTTTTGAACTGTAACTAATTAGCTGGGGCTCTTTTCCCTCAATCTAAGCTATTGTTTCCCTTTCAAATGGCTACAAAAGCGATGTCCCACTCGATGTGAACAGCACATTGTGGATGCAAGATGCTAATGGCGGCGATCAATTATTCACCGGCTAATCTGTCTGAAGAGGCACTGGAATGTGGAATAGGCTCATCATGCACCCGCATTAATATTCAGTCAACAGGCCTCACTCTGCACTGCCTACATGTCATATCAGACCCAAGCCCTCCTCAAAGAAGTGATGTCTAAATGAGAGCTTTGAAATGTCTATGCGCAGATAAGCTCTTGTTAAATGCACAGTGACCATTTTTCTAGCACAATGAACAATTGCTGCTCAGTTATGTGTAATAGTGATGTTAAAATAGGGTAACTAGATTTGTACATTTTATGCAATGTGAGTGTTCATCCAAAACACACCACCAGTGTTGTGGGTGGTTGTCAGGGTGTTGCTATGCGGTTGCTGAGGACTCTATGATATCTGTTGCTTAGATATTTCTCAACTCCTCTCAATGTAAGTACAGTATATGGGACAGTTTTGCTAATTGTATCATATCCTTTGTGTTGTGTTTGAGTCATTTTGACTCGGAGAGGATTTTCTTTTTCCCTAAAATGTTAGTTGATGTTATTGCATTGGACTAAAACTTACTGACCTCGCTCACAAAGGGTATAACTACCTCTCGTTGGATAAACCAAACCTCTCAATGGCATTCAATCTTTTTGTCAACTTGTTTTCTTTCAATTAGGACAGGTTTTGTGTTTATTTTTTAAACTGACGGATTGTAGCTTGGAAATGCTTTGAAAATCAACGAGTTGTGCAGCAAAGTTTAATGTGATTAAAGGGATTGTTCACTAAAAAAAAAAAGAAAATTCCATCATATTTACTCATTTTGATGACGTTTCAATCCTGCATTATTTTCTTTTGTTCTGCAGAACACAAAAGAAGATATTTTGAAGAAGTTTCAATCGTTTTTGTCCATACAATGAAAGTAAATGGGGTTCAAAACAACACTGGACCCCACTGATTATAATTGTATGGACTAAAACACTGAGACATTTCCTAAAATATCTTCTTTTATGTTCCACAGAAGAATGAAAGTCATACAGGTTTGGAACGACATGAGGCCGAGTAAATGATGACTATCCCTTTAAGTGTTTGTTTGAATCCTTAAACCTATGTATGAGCAATTATAATAGAAATGCTTGCCTTAGCTAACACAACTAATAAATGTTAAAAATGTGCTGTACTTCATTACAATGAAAGGGACTGGTTCTCAAACCGATGCATACTAATATAAAAGACTTGAATAACAACTCCTAAGCAAACTATTAACACAATAAACGATTTCTCAATTGCCTCCTGTTGCACATCTAGCCTTATAAACTACTTTTGAGTTGGGTAAATTAAACACAATACTCATTCTTGGTTTCTATGCAGATCGTGTTCCCTTGCGTTAGATGATTGGGTCAGCTCGCGTTCATGTTACTCACAAAGAGTATAACAAATGTTTGACAGAAGATTCCTCTACAAGCACCATTTCAGCCTCACACATGCAGAATTTCTCTAAGCAATTCTTATTAGTTATATCTTATGCATGCTTCATAAACATTACATATTTAATACCATAATGCTTCTAAGAACATCGACTGAACCGTTTAGATGCATGAAGGCAAACAGTTGTGTTACCTGCAGGCCCTCAATTGCCAATCTCAGCATGCTTGGAGTTAGCTTGGAAGCTTGCTTGAAAGTGAAGTTACTCCAGTCAATGGTCAAGACAAATCCATTTACTTGTAGCTCGGGGTCTTCTATCATTGCCTCCAGAGAAAGTAAAATAGCTCGCAGAATATCCACAAAAGTGTACCTGCAGAGAAGCACAAGCTTTTAGGAAGGTTTGCAAACAAACTCTAAATGTGCCGAGTATAGTTAGTTCATGTTAGTCAATATTGGTATTTACACTTCTACAGGACATAAGTACATCATTTATACAATGCTTGAATACATGTAGCAAATCAGGCACGACTTGACCCTAGTTCTCATCAAACATTGTTCCTGTGAGAGGATGCCAAGAGCCCTGCCATCCAAGGCAATGGTGCGACTGGCTTGGATTCAAAGGCTGTTTGATATGGACTCGAGCACTACTCTCTAGCCTAAAGAGGTGAGACTCCAACAGTTAACGCCATGATTTATCACAACACTAAAACAAATTAAATCTGGAGAAATACATATATCATTTAAGTAGTCTTAATTTAGTGCACAGTGCATAAACTAATTAATGCATATACAGTGGTCCCAAAAAGGTGACACTATTAAATATGCATACATGTGACTGCATTACATACAAAATATGTATGACTTAAGTGTCCAAAGATTGTTGAGGCCACTGTAGATAGAGAGTGTTTTACTAAACTCTTGGTTTTGGGCCATAAATTCGAGTTGAAGGGATGAATAAAAATGATTTCATTTGGAACTTTAAGTCACATTTAAGCTCACACACTAGTATACGTTACAGTATATACACACACAACCTCGCTCTTAGAAGAAAAGGTTCTATATAGAACATTACAGGTTTCTGTCAGGTGCTTCATAATCTTTTAGGAGTTGCCATCATGGGATCATCTTATGAATTGAGTTAATTTATTTAGTTTTATTTAATTTGTTTTATTGTAATTTAATTTTATGAATTAAACATTGTAAACATACTTTATCACCAGAAAAAAACATTTGAAATATCTTGTTAAACAAGCAATCATTTATACAATTTTCCTTATATAAACTATAAAGTGTTCTTTAAAATTGAGTCAAGAAACCTATGGGTTCTGTTTTAAAACCATATTGAACTTTTTTTTTTCTAAGAGTGGATACTTAAGGATAAAATTAATCCCTTGATTACACTGCAAGAGATGTATTTATCTAATTAAATTATTTGACATTTATTAGATCATCCAAAGGTCACTTGCAGTGCACTTATTGCTTGGACAGTGTCATTGGAGCAACCTGAGATGAAGTGCATAACTCAAGGGCAAATGATAGATTAACCCTTGTTGAGTCTGAAGTCTCAGCCAAGCCTATATAGGTCGCTAACCAATACAACATTATAAATGAGGCTAGGCTATATATAGTTTTTTTTATTAATAAATGCAACAAAACAAAAGAAAACTCTTACTTGCCAAGTGAAAGTCAGCATGTTGCGCTGGTAGCCATTTTGACATGTGCCAAGAGACCAGAGACCCTTAGACTGTATATAAGACTCATGAATGTATGTCAAGGTCATTAAGTTTTTTAATTTTTTTATTATTATTAGATTATGCATTTTGAGAGAGTTACTGTCTGTTCTTTAAAATAGAAGATAACAGTAAATATTCCAAAGGTAGGCTACCTGGTGAATCCATGTTGAATTTATGTTGTCATACTACAAATAAAATATATATAAAGGACAGTCATGTAGAATATTGGGTCAGGTCAAAGGTCATCACCCATTATGGCTTGGATGAAACATCAAACCCTCAATGGTTAAAATATCTCTTAAAGATCTACATATATACAGAAAATGGTATAGATGTTCTTTAAAAATGTATGAAACCAACATTACATTTCTAAAAACTAGACACATGCGTTTTAACGATTTTCTTGTCAACATCTCAGACATCCTTATTTGTCACTACAAATAGTAATATGTAACATGGCCACTGTGATGTACACTGTTACTGTACCTTTAACTTTAACTTAACATCATGCTCTAGTGAATGACAGAAGACTGATGCTGAAAAGACAGCTCAGACTGAGCGTGTCATTACCCACAATTAGCCAAAATCCAATAGCACCTTACCTGCTCTGATCCCAGTTTGCCGCGAAAAGGACCAGAATCTTCCTCCCGTATCTATCCAAATTGGACAGAACTCCAGGAAATCCATCCTTCAGAGCCTGCTTGATCCCAGGATCGGTGGCCTTCAGGTTCTTGAACATATCTAGGTTCTGTTGCCGGTACTCAAAGTACTGGGCCAGGAGGCGGAAGGCCTCGAAATGGTTAAATTTCCGGGCTCTGAGAAAGCGCAGAATGAAAGCATCGTCTGTCCTGAGAAAGCCAATGTCTGGACGGGTGATGATCATGTCCCTCACCTCCTGTATGTCCTGATGTAAAGTGTCGGGGTTCTCCTTTAACTCCACCTTGGCTTTCTCCAGGGTTTCTGGAGACAGGCCTGCCTGTAAATGAGTCATTGTCCTTGCAATGGACCAAGGTTGACTATACTGTACTATATACTACACTAAATATGCCCTATGTAATCGTTTATGAAAATGCCAATAATAAAGAGCCCTGTCACTGCAGTGCTTTCAAAATAAAAACCTGACTTTGGAGATGGTCCTGAGTGTAGCTATGACACTGATAGTTCACCTCATATACTCTATATAGTCCTTATGAGTTCACCTGTATCGTGGGTTGTTGATGCTTGTCCTGCAAAATACATTCACATACATTCATGTGGTCGTGCTCATCACGTCTATGGCTTAAGCAGACTGAAATCGTCTTAGTTTGCGTATGATCAAATCTGAGGCATTGACTCGACCACAAAAATCCGTTCATTCATTCCATCCCACCCCAAACGCATCTAAGAACGAGCATCACGGTTAAAAGAGCTGCTCTATCCTAGCATCATCAAGCGGCCAGGCAATGCGGCACCCTGCAGCATCTCATGAGTCTCCATTTAACGCGCATTTCAAATGTTGCCGTGAATTGGAGTCCGAGCATCATAACGATCCCTCAGCGCTCCGTTTTCATCATATTCGTCCTTCGGAAGAGACGATAGGGTGTCGGTCCAGGTCCGTATGGTTCCGGTGATGTGGTGGATGGTTTACGTCAGTGCTGCTGCTGCTGTTCCTTCGCTTTGTTGCTGATGAGAGTGACTTCAAGCATCGCTCCGGTGATACAGTCTGTCCGTCATCACATGGCGGAGGAGGGGAGAGCGCTCGCTCGCTCTGTATCCTCTCGAGACTCACTAAATAAAGGTTTGGACTTTTTTTTTTTGGCACTTGCCATTTATTTTGTTTCATATAGTTGTTGGTGTATTTTTTTCCTTGAAAAAAGTACAAGAACGGTATTAATAATAATAATAAACTATCGATAATTTATTGTAAATTTCTATTTATTTATTTACTGTCGTTATGTTGTTGTTTAGGGATGGCATATTTAAAATGTTGAATATATTTATATTATATAAATATGACAAATATAAAGATGCATTTCATAATGATGTAAACAATAATATTAGATGACAACAACAACATATATTATTAATAATAAGTTGTAATCTATTTATTTGTTTTTAATACAAATAATTATAATAACTAGTATTAGTATTATTCAAACCAATACTACACTGCACTAAACTGCTGATGTCACTAATGTCAGGTTAGTCGAATCATACAATTATATAGCCTAGTCGCTTTATACAATATAGATTGTTTCAAAGCATGTGATAAAGTTGGCATTTCGGCTTTTGTTCAGTGTTGATTCAGTTCCACTGTAAAGATCATCAATTATTTATAAAGCAAAAAAAAACACACACAAAAATGATGATGTCATCGTCCAGCTCAGTTCAGTTCTCATACAACAGTGCCAGTATAGTCGGATTAGTCAGATCAATAATATAAAATTGAATATTAAAAATATCCAGAGTTCACAGTGGCAAGGGACCTAAACTCCATCAGGTGAAAGAATGGAGAAAAAAACCCATTGGAGAAACCAGGCTCAGTCGAAAACAGGAACTGGAAAACAATGACTTGATCTAAACAAAGTTCAATTCTGCTGTAAAGCAGCTTTAAAAAAAAAATTGTGTCATTGTTCAGCTGAGGTCAGTTCAGTGTTGATTCATTTCTGTTCAATAAAGTTCATCAAATATGAAATGTTCAATTCAGCTGTAAGTAGAAAATAGTGATGTCATCGTCCAGCTCAGTTCAGCAATCATCCAGTAGTGTGAGTGCAGTCAAATCAGTAATATTGCTGAATAGTATGTGTCCCAAACTCCATCAGTGACAGCTAACATTTCCTAAAAGAAGCTTAACATTTAGCTAAAAATATGTTTAATGTGGTAACATTTAACTGCTATTATCAAATAAAAATATTTGATCTCAATCTTAATCAAACTAACGTTATTTTCGTAATTTTTGCATCAACATTCATATGAAAAATGGCTAAATGTGACTGTTACTGTGAAAATGTGTGTTCACTTTGTGAAGGAAGGGCATTGTGCTTAAGAGGTATTGCCTATGGGTCAAGCCACAAGGCTTTGTGTTCAAATTAGATGCAGGCTAAGTTGTTTGTTGTGATGCCATAGAATTAACAAAATGCAGTTACAACAAGCAGAATTGCACAGGTTAAACTAACACTGCAGCCAAAGCAGTGAATCAAATCATATTTTACCATCGGAATAATAAACCACATATTCAGAAACAGAAGTCGAGCCTTTAGGCTATCTGTGACCATCCACTAGTTCAGGCCTGCAAAGCACTCAGTCGGTCTAAAACACAAACACATGTTAAATTGAAATGCACACACCACTGAGGACACGCATATGCACATATGGTCAAACAAAAGCATGCACACACACTTAAAGGCAAGTACTTGACTGAGCGCAATCAAAGCCCTCAAGCACCATCTGTGATGATGCAGTCTCTTTCTATTCTGAGTGGACTGATTCTGTCCGGTGGCTATGATTTCATAATGAAAATCTCGGTAATAAGGCTGTTTTTATGGATTCTGATGAATTTTCCTTAAAATATGAATGCAAATTAAGTCTTTTCAAAGACCATACCACAGTGGACACCATTACACTTTTCATTTAGGCTGCATATTTTCTGATATCTACCTTTTAGAAGAATATTTACCGTAAAACATTTAATCTATTTCCCGTCTGGTTTATTTATTGCCACTGAGATCAGTTGATAGATATATAAATACTGTACATAAACATTCTCATATTTGAGAGAGAGACCCTCTGAGAGACATTTAAAACATCTTAAAACATGCTTAACATTAAAACATCAGGTTGATCACATGATCAACAGACAGACAGACAGACAGGCAGACAGACAGACAAACATTATAAGGCTATAATGAGAGTCAATGGTGACTGATTCTGGATCAGGCATTGTGTTGAGATTATGAAAGTCATACAGCTGGTGCTGGTGGGTGGGGACAGGCAGGCGGGACAGGATAATGTCACGTGATCAGGTGGGGGGGAGGGCCGAAGGGCCGGGGGACGGTCACAGCTGAGCATGGAGGGGGAAGGGCTCCCTAGGGACGCTAGATGGAGGGACGATAATTACATTCAGCACTCTGGGAGATGTGGAGGAAATCAAATGAATGGACCTGCTTGCATTTGAAATTACCTTTGTTGCAAAAGAGCAGCTGTCACTTAAAATGGGTCTGTGGCCTTTTTGCCTTTCCTTTGACCGGCTTGATGCCGTTCCTGAAGTAGATAAGGGGTTATGCCACTATTTTAAAAAGACAATGCAATGTTTCACTGAGCTTGAATGCTAAAAAGTTTTAGCATTATACGATGTTTATCTCAAAGAACACAGCATGCATTTAATGCAAATATTTCTTAAGTAATAGGTGATAAAATGGTCTCCCACAAGCAAGACATTAACACGGGAGAATTCTCCTTGGGTGAGTCTCAGTCAGCTCCCGTTCAGTAGTCTCAGGGCACTGATCAGGGATTCTGAAATTTTAAGGGCTGTTTCAATTGCAAGATCTTTTTCAGTGCACTGACAAGTACGACTCGGTTACTAACGTAACCTCGGTTCCCTGAGAGGAGGGAACGAGTATTGCGTAATTAGCTTACGCTATGGGAAAACTCCTTTTCTCGAGAAATATTGAAGTCTTTATGTAAAACGCATTGCAGCTGCACAGCATACAATGAGCGAGGCAGCTCGGTCATTGGCTGTGCTGCGGCAACTGCACGAACCTATGACGGGGCGACTCTGAACCCGCTTCCAATGAGCGTGCTTCGCGCCCGCGCGCGTCAGAGCCCGCCAAGATGGGCGTGGCCAAGGGCTATATATTGGGCGCCCCGTTGTCTGAGTTCTTTAGGTTCAATCGACTGAAGCGAACTGACCAAGCACAAGCACGGCAGCTTACGCAATACTCGTTCCCTCCTCTCAGGGAACCGAGGTTACGTTAGTAACCGAGTCGTTTCCTTTCGAGAGGTTCCTCCTATTGCGTAAGTAGCTTACGCTATGGGAACACCATGTAAAACGCCGTGTGTGCTGACTTCGCTCTATTAAAGGAGAATTCCGGCGCAAAATAAACCTCGGGTGTAATAACACATTGGTACAGACTAAATCGTTCCCTGAGATTTGTTTTCATGATAATCGAATTTAAAGAGTTTTATCTCTAAAAACAGTTTAGCTTATAACACTAGTATATTGGGCATAAAGTAAGCAAAAAGAGATCGCTAGTTAATACCACTAACAAGGCTCAAATTAGCCCCACACTAACACGGCAGCATAATGAGTGTCCTTACATGCAAACCGAAGCATTGAGAACTTTGTAAGTGTATAGATACTTTACACAGACAGTACAGTTAGCGCCATAGACAGTATAAGAAGTGGACAGAGTCATCTCATTGGAACTCAGTTGAGACAGTTGAAGCCCATTTTTAGCGATTTTTGAGCACTTCCGTTCCTGACGCGCAGACTCAAACCGACTCAAACTAAGCTTGATGACATGAGCAACCTGTCTGACAGACGTTAATCTTCTAGTAGCTGTGCGTAAAAATTGCCAACGTTAATCTTGCAGAGACGGGGAACTTGAGCAAAGAGTTATTTGGCGTGAGTGAGCAGGAGTAAGTATTCCGTTGCTTTTATGGACTCATTATCTATGGGCTTCTCCCTTGACGGGACGTCCCCCCGATTGCCTGCGAGCTTCTCCTCCTGTCTGTACGGTAATTTCTGTACAGCGCGACAGAGAGTCGAGTGGTTATGACTCAATCGTTAGCCTATTTTTACTAAATCTGTTTCTACGGGGCCATAATGTAACATAGAAGGTAATGGAGCCCTTCATACATTGTCGTGTTTCTTTAGAAATAAATAATGGACAAATGGAGTCTTTAAACGCCTCAGATGTAAAGTTATTCGCTGTCAAAGTGACGCCAAAATGAATGGGAGTCAATGAAAATGCTAACGCAAGTGAAGTTCTGCTACAACATGGCGGCACCCGGCCGGCTTCAACTTCCGGTCGATGGATTACCCTCTTGGTTAGCGCATACAGACAGGAGCCATCTTGGAAAACAGTCTCGATCAGTCAAACCACGAACACGGTGATACGTGAGCTGAACTGTGACTTGGATTCTCATATGGTCCGTTGTTTCCGGAAGAAAGCACTGAGCGCATAAGAGAAGCACTGAACGCAACAGAGAAAATAAAAAAATAAATATAATCTATCTTATCTTCAATATCTACACGTACTATTCGCTCACCTTCGTGGTTTGACTGATCGAGACTGTTTTCCAAGATGGCTCCTGTCTGTATGCGCTAACTGTACTGTCTGTGTAAAGTATCTTCTTATTAAACTGTCTATACACTTACAAAGTTCTCAATGCTTCGGTTTGCATGTAAGGACCCTCATTATGCTGCCGTCTTAGTGTGGGGCTAATTTTAGCTTTGTTTGGTATTAACTAGCGATCTTCTTTTGCTTACTTTATGCCCAATATACTAGCGTTATAAGCTAAACTGTTTTTAGAGATAAAACTCTTTACATTCGATTATCATGAAAACAAATCTCAGGGAACGATTTAGTTTGTACCAATGTGTTATTACACCCGAGGTTCATTTTGCACCGGAGTTCTCCTTTAAGCCGGAGGCAGATGCCTGAGCCTTTAAGCAAAGTAATTATCCAACGAGCCGGCCGAAGGCGGGCTTTATAAGGGACAATGTGGAACGGCCCAATGGGCATCCAGAGAAAAACACAAAA